ATTCATTTCAACAGAATTTGCCTTTACTTTGGGGAGCATTTTTATCACAGCTGTTTAAAAAGTCTTGGTTAGATTATTCAAACATTTGTGTCACCTCAGCACTGGCATTGGTTGATTAACTTTTCCCATGCAAGTTCAAATTTTCCTGGTTCTTCATTTTGGTTCATATCTGGGATATTCTGAATATTGTTATGAGACTCTACATCTTGTTTAAATCCAGTGGAAAATGTTCATATTTTTGTTTTAGCAGACAATCGACCAGGTTGGGTTCAGGCAGCAAATTCCAATTACCCTTCTGTGGGTTGTGGTTTCAACATCAGTTCCATTTTCAAAAGCTAGTCAGAAGAGTCCTCTGTGTGTGCATCCAGTCTGGGACTTGGGCAGTGGTCTGTCCCTTAGTTCAGTTCTGAAAGTCTTTGGTATGTTGTTTAGAATCAGATGCACACATGCACAGCTTGGGTTATCCTGAAGTCCATAAATGACTTAAAGGGGTTGCTTTCCTGAGCTCCCTTTCCCTTTGTTTTCTCTTTTGTGCCTCCTGGTTCCTTGGGCCTACCCTTCCTGGGCCTCTGGCCAGAAAGCTGGGGCTTTAGTTACCACACTCTGCCAAGAATTTTCGGAACTGCACTCAGATCTGGGGCCAAGTAGCAGGAAGGCAAAGACAGAAAATAAGCAACCAAAATTGCACCCCATCCCCTTGGGACTACAGCTCCTCTGATCAGAGAGGAAGGTTCCCCTCCCTCAGTTTTAGGTGCTTGAAGGGCCTACTGCTGCCACTGTCCCTACCACCATCACTGTGGGATTGCCTGGGGGCTGGGGCATGAGGGAACAACTCTTGGGATCTCCCCCTCTGTCTGAGCCTTGGAAGCCCTTTTCCCACCCCAGAGCTTTAACTAGAGGTCTTCTCCTGAAGCTGTTTGTGCCTTAGTGTCCATTGCTGAGGTTTGGGGTACCTTGAGTCTAAGACATGGGACACTGAAGGGAAAATAGGAAATTAACTGCCACTTTAGTAATACATTGAATTCTGGTATTCTTCCCCTATCTGTCTGCTACTATTTATGTCTCAGAGTCCTCAAACTGCTATGAAATGAATTCTGAAAGGGCCTTTAGCTGCACTGAGAGATAGGCTGAGTGTGCTCACTCCATCTTAACTGGAACTGGAATCTTTTTTCTTACTTTTAAGTACCTACACTAACAGAAAGAAAGTCAAATAGGGATTAATTGCAAAGTTATCCTGCTAAAGTTCTAAAACGTTCTTGGCAATGTGGTATGCCCAACACTTTGTAAATTCTCTCCAAATAAAATAGTAAAGACCTATTTTGTTTGAATAGTAAAGACCTCTGCCCAGCTCTTCCCTGGTACCATTCCCTTTTAGGCTTGATGCAAAGCATGAGATAGCAAAACGACTGGCCTCCTGCAAGTATTCCATGAGAGCATGCATAAGGCAGAACTAGGTGTGGAAGCTGGTAGGTGTTGTCGGGAAAACTGAAGGCTAAGTAAACTGAAAACCAGTCATAATTTGAGGCTGACTCTGAATCAACTTGCTCTATCCTCCACTAAGAGGGAGTCAGCGGAAAAATGTCTGAATTCTCATTCTTTGCCAGCCTTCACTGAGAACCAGGTACAAACCTCGAGCCTTACTGCCATGGTCCATAGTTATTTGAAGATTAAGCCCAAGATCTTTTCGTAACTCCAGGGGAGACGGAGGCTGAGGACCAAAATCCCCTTGAACATTGTTAGCTGTACATTGAAGTTTTATGTACTTTTCTATATATTTGCTATATTTTACATTTTTAATACAATGCCCAGCTAGTGAGTTACTGTAAAATGGACACCTATATAACCCCCTTCAGGTCACTAAAAAGAATATATCAACACACTAGAAGCCCCCCTGTGCCCATCCCTCAACATACCCCCTTGAACACCACCATCTAGTTATTACAGAATTCAATTCCTTGCTTTTAATACTGAATTATGTATCTAAGCAAATATGGTTTAATTTCATTTGTTTTTGAACTTTATATAAAAGGATAAACACAGTATGTACTGTTTTGTCTGACTTCTTTTGCCCAACAATACGTCTTTAAGATTTATCCATGTTGTTGCATCTGGCTATGGTTTGCTCATTTTTACTGTTCCCTATGAATATAATTTGCATATTCATTCTACTGTTGTTAGGTATTTGGATTGTTTTTGGTTTTTGACAATTATGAACAATGTTCTTATAAACATTCTTATACATGTATCTTGCATATATATGTCCTGTTATGTATAAGCATCCATTTCTGCAGATAATATACCTAGAGGAGGAACTGCTAAGTCACCAGGTATGTGTATATCCAAATTTACCTAGATACTGCCATAGTTTATTCCACAGTGGTTGTACCAAATTATGCTAAAACAAGTAAAAATCAGAGTTTTCACTGCACCACATCCTTCTCAACATTGGAATTGTCAAGCTTTTCAAGTTTTGCCATTTGGTAGATGTGTATTGATTTCTCATTGGGATTCTAATTTGCATTTTGCTGAGTACTAACCCAATCAAACACCTTTTCAGAAGTTTATTGGCCATTTGGATTTCCTCTTTTGTGAAATGCCTATTCAAGTCTTGCTCATTTCTGTAATGGGTTGCTCCTTTATTCCTATTGATTTCTGTCATTCTTTGTTCTGGAAACAAGCCTTTTGTTTATTTGTGCTGTAAGATCTTTTTACACTCTGGATTTCCTTTCACTCTCTCTCTCTTCTTCTTTTTTTTTTTTTCCAGAGACAGGGCCTCACTCTGTCACCTAGGCTGCAGTGCAGTGGTGCAATCATAGCTCACTGCAGCCTCTAACTCCTGGGCTCAGGTGATCCTCCTGCTCAGCATCCTGAGTACCTCAGACTACAGGCACACACCACCATGCCCTCACTATTTAAAAAAAAATTTGTAGAGTTGGGGTCTCACTGTGTTACCCAAGCTGGTCACAAATTCCTGGCCTCAAACTGTCCTCCTGCCTCAGCCTCCCAAAGTGCTGAGATTACAGGTGTGAGCCACTATGCCCATCCAGCCTGCCTTTTCACTCTCTTAATAGGGTCTTTTGATTAATAGAAGTTCTTAACCTTTATGTAATAAAATGACCAATCTTTTACTACACAAATAGACACAAGTTTTGGATCAATTTAAGAACTCTTTCTGTCTGTCCATTCTACCTTAAAGTGACTTCTCCTGCCTCAGCATTTTGGTGGGAAACACACAAGGTATGAGATAGAAAGATGCTAAGGGAGAGAGTACGGGCTCTAGAGTTAGACAGAGATGAATGGCCCAGAACAGGTTACTTCATGTCTTTGAGCATTAGCTTCTTTATCTATAATAAAGATATCAAAGCTATTGTAAGGAGATCTAGTATCTGATAGCACAGCAGAGTGATTACAGTCAACAAAAATTTATTGTATATTTTGAAATAATTAAAAGTATAATTGAAATGTCTGTAACACAAATAAGCTGTAAATGCTTCAGGTAATGGATACCCCATATACCCTGGTGTGATTATTACTCGTATGCCTGTATCAAAACATCTCATGTACCTTATAAATATATACACCCACTATGTACCCAAAAACATTAAAAATTAAAAAAATTAAAAATTAAAAGCGATTGTGAGAGATAGCTGAGAGGTGTATAAAGCACTCAGCACAGTGTTGGCACACAGTAAAATAGGCAGGCCCTCAGTAAATAGTGGTGGCTGTGATCATATTCTCTGAATGTCTTTCCTCTTGTCCACTCTACATCAACTGCTGTACCTCATGACTGTTTTGTGAATCATCAATCTATCATATCAAAGGACGGCAAAATGAATTAACTGCCCTCAACAGGCCAGCAGTCTCCCTGGCATTCATGGGCGGTACCCATGGTACGAGGCCCACATGACTTTACCTAAAAACACAGAGACACTCTTCCCTCAAAGTCATGTTATTCTGAGGCTCCCATAGGGACCCAATGGCAGCAAGCTGAAGAATCAAAGTAGTCTCTTCCCACTTCCTGTCAACAGGTACAGTGGTGTGGAACAGGTAAACTGCCCCAGACATGGGAGAGCCAGGCTCCATTGGGTCTGGGTGAATTTGGGGCAGGTGTGCTGATCTGTGTGTCCTGCACTGTAAACAGGGAAGAGAAGGAGTGTGTCTACCTACATGCATTTTGGCATGAGTGCACAGTACAGTGTGGTACTCCTCTCCTGGAAGAGGTCTGTATTTGAGTATAAGGGGTATGTGTGTAAACGTGCAATGCAGTGTATGTCCTCCGGAAACTGGGATGCTCTCACCAGCCCAGCATTCTAGTGGAGAGGCCTGATAGTTATCTGCTCCAGCATTCCCACAGCTTGGGGTCTTTCAATGCCCTCTGCTCCACCTTCTGAGACAGATATATGCACAGAAAACAGACATCCTTTTACATGACTCTTGACAACTCTGAATGAAGAGGGAGCATCTACTGCAACTCCTCTGTGCACACTTTTTTTTTTTGAGGCAGAGCTTCGCTCTTGTTGCCCAGGCTGGAGTGCAATCTCATGATCTCGGCTCATCGCAACCTCTGTCTCCCAGGTTCAAGCGATTCTTCTGCCTCAGCCTCCCTAGTAGCTGGGATTACAGGTATGTGCCACCACGCCCAGCTAATTTTGTATTTTCATTAGAGACAGGGTTTCTCTATGTTGGTCAGCGTGGTCTCGAACTCCCGACCTCAGGTGATCTGCCCACCTCGGCCTCCCAAAGTGCTGGGATTACAGGCATGAGCCACCGCGCCCAGCCAGTTCCTCTCTGCACACTTTTAAAGTAACTGGAAAAGTTCTCTGGATGTGTCCCTCTTCTGCTTCCCTGACCATAAAGTCTCTAGAAAGGCTTCTTGAGACTTCCCCCAATTCTGGGGTATTCCATTGCCCTCCCCAGCAAACCCATAATTGATTAGGCTTCACAAAAAATATGGCTAATATTGAAGGCCAAAAAGATGATAGAGGGGGAAGAGTTGGTACCTGAGCCTAGTGCTTGTCCAGCGGAGTCAAAGGAAAGAACCACTGAATCTGCAACACAAGAGGACAAGTTCATTTCTTTCTCCTTCTTAAAGTAAAAAAGCAAGCTCCCACTGGTTCTGCCCAAACCCTCCCTCAAAGGAGTCAACTGGAAGGGAACTCAGTTGCATAGCCCAGCCTCCCAGGCCCATGCCCACCCATCACTGGGCCAGGAGACCCTGCCCAGACCAGTACCCCTTGCCTCCTGCCAGAAGGAGAGACGTCTCAGGGCAGGGAGCAGGCCCCAAATTGTTTAGGGGCATGTCTTGCCAGATTAGCGGACAAATTTACTTCTTTTTCCTTCTTCTAGTGAAAATGGAATTAAAACAAAGCAAAATAAAACTTCCTTCCTGAATCTAGTTAAAGGCACTAACATTTCCCCTTTGATCTCTCCATTTCTTCTACTTATATACTCAATTGTTTATTGTTTCTTCCCCAAAAAAGGCTTAAAGTGGCCTATTGAAATTTACAGTATACACTAGAATTTCAAAATGAAGACGTCAAAGAAAGGAAAAAGACTATATAGTGGGGGAAATGTTAGTGCAGAAAATGCATGCCATGAGTACCTATGCAAATACCGTAGGCAGAATCAGGGCCTGAGCCTCCAAACAGCCAAAGAAAAAAGAAAATGAACAGTTACAAGACTCAGTACCCACAGGGCATTCATTCATTCATTCATTCATTCAAATGTCCAATAAATATGCATTGGGCATCTACTATGTGCAAGATACTATACTATGACAGAGATACAGCAGCAAACAGAAAAAGCATGGTCTCCATCCTTATGGATCTTTCTGCTATCAGTCTGGGAGAAAAAAATGTTACCAAAGAACAAACTATTTAACTAGAAACTGATAAAAGAAAAAAAGGAAGTATTATGAAAGTTTATGTTAGGAACTGGACTGAGTACAGGAGGGGAGTGGGTGCTGGATAGGGAAGACATCTCTGAAGAAGTGACGCTTGACCTCATAGCTGAAGGATAAGTGAGGGTCAAACCCAACAAGAATGGAATGGCACATTGAAGGCAGAGGGAAGGCCAAGTGTGAAGAACTGAGGCAAAATGGAGTCTGGTGCTCCAGAGCAACTGAAAGACCAAAACATAAAAGCAAATACTGTACGGTGATCAGAGAGAACTTCCTCTTGTGGGCCTTAGAAAAAGAGATGCTGGCTAGCTGCAGTGGCTCAAGCCTGTAATCCCAGCACTTTGGGAGGCTGTGGCAGGCGGATCATGAGGTCAAGAGATCAAGACCATCCTGGTCAACATGGTGAAACCAGTCTCTACTAAAAATACAAAAAAAAAAAAAAAAATTAGCTGGGCGTGGTGGCGCATGCCTGTAGTCCCAGCTACTCGGGAGGCTGAGGCAGGAGAAGCACTTGAACCTGGGAGGCGGAGGTTAGTGAGCTGAGATCACGCCACTGGACTCCAGCCTGGTGACAGAGCAAGACTCCATGTCAAATAAAAAAAAGAAAAAAAAAAACAGACACTGTATGATGTTGAAGATTGTATATTCTACATTTCTATACTAAGTAACTGTAAATCTTGTATGGCTGTTTCTTACAACATAAGCCAACGCCAAATGATGGCATAAATTAAACGTAGAGCTCAATAAAAACAATTATAAGGGGCACCAAGATGATGTAAGGCCCAAGATAACCCAGGAGACCCCAGACTCAAAAGGGATTAGATTCCAAAGACTTACTCACTCCAAAGGAGTGTCAGCTGGATGCAAATGGCACCAGAGTCTACAGCCACACCCCGCCCAAGCATTATGGGCATTTTCTCTCATTGCACATGAACATTCAACACAATAGTTATCATAACTGTACATAACATCTGTTCCCCCTGCTAGGTTGTAAGTTCCATAAAGGCAGACACCACATCTGCTTTATTCACTGCTACATTACCAGCATAACACCTGGCACTCAATATTTGCTGAATAACAATGTATAGAAAAATGAATGAATCACAAATTTTCAGACACTCTTTCATCAATATTTTTTTCTCACACCCATGTGTTTGCTAAGAACTGGGTGGCAGAGAGCTGGAGGATGTGGTTTCTGAGGCAGATACTCTGTACTGCCAGTTAAAGATAGATCCATATGCTTTGAAATCTGCCAAGAAAAAGGTAGGGTTGTCACTTTTTTACAAAATGTGGAATCACAATCAGGACACTTGGCTGAACCTATCTCATACAATCAATGTCTAACTCATAAATTCTACTTCTTCTTTTTTTTTTTTTTTTTTAAATAGAGACAGAGTCTTGCCCTGTCCCCTGGGCTGAAGTGCAGTGGTGCAGTCGTGGCTCATTGCAGTCTCTAACTCCTGGGCTCAAGTGATCCATTCACATCAGCCTCCCAAACAGCTAGGACTACAGGTGCATGTGACACCCTGCCTGGCTAACTTTTCAATTTTTTTTTAGAGATGAGGGTCTTGCCATATTGCCCTAGCTGGTTTCAAACTCCTGGCCTCAAGTGATCCTCCTGCTTTGACCTCCCAAAATGTTGGGATTACAGGCACAAGTCATCATGCCTGGCCAATTCTACTTCTTTATCAGCATTTCTCACATTTATCTCCTCTCATTGAGAAGACTGACTCCTCCAAACCCCTGCTTTTGCAAACAGCTTTATTGAGGTATAATTCACACACCACGAAATTTACTCATATATGTGTGCAATTCAATAATTTTTAGAAAATTTACAGAGCTCCATAACCATCATCACAATCCAACTTAGAACACTCTCATCACTCCAGAAAGATCCCTCATGTCCATTCAGTCATTCTCTGCCCCTACCTCCAGCCCCAGGACCCAACAAGTTACTCTGTCTATAGATTTGCTTTTCTGGACATCTGCCTATCATCTTTTGCTGGGACTGCTCTTATTGCCCCCAAAACACACCTCTGCCTCCAGCATAGCCCATTTCCATCCATCCTTTCTACTGATTTCTCCAAAAAGTATAACAGATTGTGTCTCTGCTCTTCAATAAAACCCTTCAGAGGCTTCCTGTGGCCTGTAAGATAAAGTTCAAGCTCTGACATTCTATGTCTTTACCATTTGCCTCATTTACCACCTCGAGTTCCAGATACGCAAAATTACTTATATTTCCCAAGAGATGTGTGCCTTCATGTCTTCAGACATTGGACATATTGTCTTCTCTGCAGGTTTGCATTAAAAAAAAAAAAAAACAGAAACTCCCACTTTTCCACTAAGACCAACTCAATTGACCCCTTTTTCCTGAAGATGTCTCTGATCAATTCTGCTCACTTACTTCTTTAGGCCATCACTGCACTTCTACTATGGCATTCATTATACTGCATTATAATCCTTGTTTGCTTTTCTTCTTCTTTCATTAAACTGAAAGTTCCCTGAAGACAAAGATTGTCTATTCATTTTGAGGCTTTGATGCCTAACTAATGACTGACACATACAAAGTGGTCAACATGTTTATTCAACTAAGAAATAAGCTAGTAAGTATTCTTGCTTTCCTCCAAAGGCGATGTTATCTGAGTGATATTTTACAAGTTGGGGGTAAAATCCATTCTGGGTATTGACTCCCATCAGTTCCAATCAGTCCTGAAGTGTGCTTGGCCTGTGAAGGTTCGGGGGTCCAAACCTGGCCTCACCCTAGGAAAATGAGTGCTCACACACAGAGTATCCGCACAGGAGGAATAAGAAAAGCATCCTAAGAGTTTCTAGGTGAGAGATCACATTCCCCTGAAGAAGACTGGGAATGGAATTCTGAGGAGCTGACTGCCCAGATGAGCAACAGTAAAAACAAGCATCTCAAATTTTTACTGCAGTTGACAAGTATTTTTCCAATTGCAATTTATCTTCTTTGTACTCACAAGCAGTCTGGATATAAAGTCTCTTTTAAACTTTTCAAATTACATGTACAGAAAAAAGGCTAAAAGTTAACTAAACGACTAAAACTAAGATAAAAGAGACTAAATCTTAACATGGTTGTCTCTGGGTGGCAGAATTATAGTAATGCTTATTCTCTGCATTTTTGTAAACTTTATATAGCAAACATGTATTACTTGTATCATTTGAGGGGACAAAAAGTTCAAAAAAGAACTTCTGAATTCAGCTCTAGGATTTTAACCTCCAACTCACTGGTACCAATGCCAAAGGATGGAAGGTTCTTGAATGCCTTCATTATGCACGGTACATGCTGAAATGCTGTTGAGTTTTTCTCTTTAATTACTGAGGTCATCCTTATAGTTCATGGTACTTAAATATTCCCCAACAATATCAGTCTAAATGGACTGGGCTTTCCTCGCCCTTCTTTACTTCTCCCTCCTTCTCACAAATATTATCAAGTGGCTATTACGCGCCAGGCCCATGGAGCCAAATTAGAGATAGCCTTTGCCTTCAAGCCAAGGAAGACAGACCACTTCATAAACACTTAAGATAAAACTAAAGTGATAAGGGGGAGCATCAAACAGGTGACAGTCTACTGGAAAGAGTCAAAGTCTTTGCAAATATTATTTCCAATGGTAGTAGAATGCTCCTATAATCATACATTTTTAAACTTCAGAAGAGGCAAGTGAGAGAGTAGATATTTTCAGAGGAAGTTAGTGACATATTCATGTTTTGTGTAAGTTTTTAAATGAAATCTGCTGTGAGCATTAAAGGTTTGATGAATTTTGTTTTGATGAATTTTGCTTTGACTTCAGAAACAGTTTGGCCATTCATTATTTGTGATTTATTCTAAAGGATGTAAGATTATTTTAGTTATAAACCACTTTGACAGCCAACGGGAAAACTTAGTATTCAACAAACTGAGAAGTTTGCTTTACAAGAAACAGAGCAAGAATATCCCGACTTCTCCTCTCAGGCTAGCAAACATGTCATTTTTACTTCAGTCATCCCAGGCTCCAGCTGTTCCTGGCTCCCAGGCCAGAGGCAGCCATGTGGCATGCCATACAAGTGACCAAACAGAATTCCAGACCGAAATACAGCACAGCCTTGCTGCACATGACTTTGTTCAATGAGGAAACCTAAAATTTACTG